TATGATAATAAACACCTTTCTGCCTAACCAGACATAACTGCTTTTCTCAGATCCAACTGATTCAGTGATAAAACTATAGAGAAAAATAAATACAGTTTTCGATGTTTAAGCTGACCAGGAGGCTATCTCTGGTGTTTACCCCTCCATATTCCACTATGCGTTTCATCTTCCCTTTGCCTCACTGGGGATCCAAGTGCAGATAATGCTTCATATGTCTGTGATCCCTAGAACTTCATCCTGATGACTGTTGAAATAGTCTCTGAGTTTTACCAGTGGAAATTACAATAAATACAAATATTCCAGAAGGTCCACTAGGGTCCACATTTTCTGTACTTCCTCTCTAAAATATGTAAAATCAATTATGTTTGCTCTTGCTTTATATGGACTCGATCTATGGCCCAAGCACACAGTCTAAAACCCTTTGTTGACAATTTGTCCAGTATTGTATTAAGTCTAAATGGTCACATGTTTATCATCTCATTTCTTCCAATTTAATGGAATAATTGTTATGTCAACTCTTTGGATTAAGAACCATCAACCAGTCCAGCACAGTGGCTCACATGTGTAATCCCAGCTCTTTGGGAGGCAGAGGTGGGCGGATCATGAGGTCAAGAGATCGAGACCATCCTGGTCCATATGGGAAAACCATGTCTCTATTAAAAATACAAAAATTAGCTGGGTGTGATGGCGTACACCTGTAGTGACAGCTACTTGGTAGGCTGAGGCAGGAGAAAAGCTTGAACCCGGGAGGCAAAGATTGAAATGAGCCGAGATGATGCTAATGCTCTCCAGGCTGGCAGCAGAGCAAGACTCCATCTGAAAAAAAAACAACCGTCAACCAGAAAACCACAGCCCTGAGAAAATAGAAATCGAGTGTTTCAAGGTGTTCAGTTGGCATAACAATGATGAATCTACAGCTCATTTTCAAGATAAAAATACTCTGTTTATGGGAGTAAAAGCAACAATCCCACTGAGTGTTTCGGAGCCTCCACCTCTTCTGAAAGCATAGCAATTCAACAGCACAAGGGTTTGTGTGCCAACTTCGCTTGACTAATAATGAGTTTTTCCCTATCTATAGGGAAAGCTGCACCTGTGCACATGACAAGAGCATGAGCTACACTTTGCTTCACTTATATTTTTGAGGTAAACAGCTTGCTTGATCCAAATCCATATTATGGATGAATTTCCTGACACTGATAAAAGCACTTGGAAAATCCTCAAGTAATATTTTATACAGAAACATAACCGAAAAGAAAGGCAAATTCATCTGTAGGAAAATAACCACTGCCCTCCTCATGTTACATGAGGTCCACTAGAATCACCTGATACCAGCTATTAGTCTGAGCCCTAATGCGTCGTACAATGTTAAGGGTTCTTCTTGGCAAATTAGGTATTTATAAGAGCCGGTAGCCCTGTAAGTCTCAGTTAGTTGCAACTCATATTATTGAGTCCCCACTGGGACCTCCACAACATTGGTTCATGATACTCCCTGAGAAAGCTGGGAAAGGTGACTGACTGAAGTCCAAGTGTTGAATCATCCTCATTATTAAAAGCCCCTGCTCACTAATGGCATTTCAATTAATATTCAGTTGGAAAGCATTTTCTTTGATTATGCCTCATTTTTGAAACATCTAGTCATAGATCATCCAGAATGGCTTTGTCTGCAATCATCCTGTTGCATTTGTTTTGAGGCCTGATGATCTGTCAAAACCAACAGCCAATATGATTAAGTTGCTGTTCTCTTGGCAATGTGATCATCAGATGTAATCCTTGCAGTTTACCTGCTGTTACAGTTTTTACATTTCCAGGGCTTCCCTGACAATGGCACTGATGTGACTCCATCCAGCATCCATTGCTGTGAGAACTCTATTTGGCATATCATCGTTGTGGGCATGAACATAATGGAGACTTTCATAGGATGCCATGGTTAATATTCAATATTAGTCAAAATTTGTTCTAGTCCTAACCTGGGAACTCTACTTAGTTGGAAAAATATTATAGGTAAGGACAAGCATTTGGTAGAGTTTTAAAATAAAGAATACAAAGAAACTTTCTTGGCAAGAGCATCAACTATATGTGGTGCACAATGCCATTTTTGTATGGAATGTAACAAAGATTATTTAAATGTATATGAATACTATATATATTTGTAGCCAATATTTTACCAAATAAATGTATTTTCACTTCTATGTATATTATATACATATATGCACATTTTTCCATAAAGTAAATTTTAATTTTTTATACTGAAATACTAATTAGTTTTAATTTTGACTTTTATTTTACCTTAATAACTTCATAATTTCATTACTAAATGTTCACATTTATACCACCAATTTAAGAAAAATATATTTATGTATATATAGGTAAAGGTGTAAATACTGTATTAAGAAGCTTTCATGCATTAGTGATTGGTAACTGGTTAAATATACAGCTCAGTGGGTGATAACAGGAAACATTTGTTTTCATGTTCATGGGTGCTCATGTTCACAATCATCTGGCTGATCAAGGAAGGGCTCAGCTGAGTGGTTTCTCTGAAGGGCACTGAGCTTGCCTTCAGTCTATAGATATCAATTTTCTGAGGACAAGGCTGAACAGCAGTGAGTACACATGACACAAGATTCTTGTGGCAGGTCTGAGGAGTCAACAACATCTCAAACCAAACTGCACAGTTGAATTTAAGCCCAATAATTTCTAACATAGTTTCACACATTTTAAATATATTCCCTTACTTCAGTGAGTACAAATTTTCAAGAAAATGTTAACTCCATTTAATTAAAAAGGTGTTTGATCATTCCATGGACAAATAATTACGCTTTCAACCTTTACAACCTTGAAAATATTTGAAAACGTAAATTTGCATGAAGAGGAAAATAAAGCTGGATGTGTTTTCAACATGTGGCTTTAAATATATTTTTTTAATGGCCTCATTGGGGAAGAAATCATTTTAACTTATGTAAATGTTCCTTTTTGTCTCTCTTTTGTTCTGTAGAGTTGTCCAATAAGAGGTCCTCCCATGAGATGTGGAAGTCAGAAAAGAATGACTCAATATTCTCCATTGGTACTTAAGACAGACACAGGGACAGAGGTGAGGACTGGAGAAACATCTGGAAAGATGCTGTAGGAAGCTGTCAGCATCATAACACCCACCCTTACACTTCCACACAGGATTGAGGACCACATGGTTAGAAAGCCCATAATTAGGGGCACATGCATTCTCTTTTCTGAGGGAGCACCAGAGAATCCTGCTTCTAATATCTTCTTCATGACTACTATATCCTTGGCTTTGAAAGGTCATAGTGGGAAAGTTAATCATAGGAATTGGATAATTCTTGTCATAGCCAACAGAGCCAAGAAACCAGGAGGAAAGGCACTCAGGGTGCAAAATATTGTTTCTAGAATGCAATTGAAATAGGCCCTATTATCCCATGGAACCAATGTTTATGGATTTTTGAATAAATATAGATATTGACCCCTTCCCCGGTCTTAAAACTCAAGATAGTTACATTTGTCTTATCTGAGTTCTTTCTTCAAGAAGCCAACCATCAGGCCTCCAGATACCATCAAGGAGCTGAAACTTACATATCACTGAAACAGGATAGTGAGATCCTTCGCCCATTATGATTGCCTAACTGACCTCCTGCTTCCTATTGACCAAATTATCTTCCTTATCCCTCCCTATTTCCTGTTTTCCCACATTTCTTCCCTGCTCTATAAACCTCTAACTTTAGTTTCTCCCGGACATATATTTGTGAATGGTGTCCCATCTCCTTGGCTGCAGCACCTGATTAAAGCCTGTTCTTGGCAATACTTGTTGTCTTAGTGATTGGCTTTCTGTGTGCTGAGCAGCAGGATCTTCACTAAATCCCTGGCATTTCAATAACAAAGTTTTCTGCAAGCTTCACTGCTCTGGCTTATTGTAACCTGAAATCAAATTTACCCACAACTTCTGAGATAACTTGATATTATTCTAGGATTCACTTTGTCCACCACTGCTTATCAGCCTGAGCTTGACAGCTGCCAACACTTCTTCGTGCCAATGAATTTTCTCAAAGAGCAATAGGTAATATTTTCCCTTTTTCATAAAATGCTAACATTCTCTTGTTCTTCGAACATACTGAAGACCATTGAGTTTTCCTGTATGTCCCATATGGCAAATATTTCTTTGCAGGCAAAATATTAAATTTAGAGATTCATCTCTCCATTTTATTTAGACTTCAGTAGTTTAGACTCTAATTCTCTGTATTAAGACAATTCCTGCTTAGAATATCTATAGTGGCTTCTTCTGTGTTATTTGAATTCCAAACGAAGCCATAAACTAGACTCCTCAGGTGTCATGATTTCTGTCTTTATTAACTCAGGAGAGGCATTGCTATATCTGTGCAGCTGGGGCTGAGAAAGAGAAAAGAATTCGGGTACAGAGGTGACTTCATGTCTCCCTCTAGCGACACCATCAGAGTGTGGCTACATCTGAGGAACACTCTCAGCCCATGGAGGCATCAGGAGGAGCAGCTGGGGCAGTCCAGCCTCACATATCTGCTTCCCTAGGGGTTTATGTTCGGGTGTGTAACACTGTGGGAGGGGCACTGTTATACTGTTGACAGTAATAAGTTGCAAAATCTTCAGGCTGCAGGCTGCTGATGGTGAGAGTGAAATCTGTCCCAGATCCACTGCCGCTGAACCTTGATGGGACCCCACTTTCCAAATTGGATGCGTAATAGATCAGAGGCTTCGGGGCTTTCCCTGGTTTCTGCTGATACCATGCTAAATAACTGCTAATGCCCTGACTCGCCCGACAAGTGATGGTGACTCTGTCTCCTACAGATGCAGACAGGGAGGATGGAGACTGGGTCATCTGGATGTCACATTTGGCACCTGAGGTTGGAAACATAAAAACAAATGTCCAAATAATTAATCATGTAGTAAGAGAACTTCCCTAAAAAGGCAGGCAGTACTGAGCTCACTGGCTTAGGTAAACTTCTAATGTTCCCCTTCCTTACCTGAGAGCCAGAGCAGCAGGAGTCCTAGGAGCTGAGCGGGGACCCTCATGTCCATGCTGTGTCCTGACTGGGTCTGACTCCTGCATGAAGCATGCCCAGCCTATTAATAAGTCTTCAGGGCAGGAGGATGTGTTCTGGGAACATGCAAATGAGCAGGGGACAGGGCAGGCTGGGCACAGCTGCAGGGCTGGCTCATCTCAGTAACTCATCACCAGCTCAGTGTCCCCAGGTGTCCCAGGTAAGACAATGGTAGCACAAATTTGTCTGAAGAGATATGTTTGTACTGGGGACTATTTTGTTATGAGAAACCTTTTTTCAGGTTTTTTTTTTTTTGAATATTTGAAATATTCCTCAGGAACCGATGGAGTAATGTATTTCATTAGTGTGTGGGGATTATTTAGGAAAATATTCTTGTTTGTAGGAAACACGTAGTACAACGTTAGATGGTAGGATTCTTAGGTCTTCAAAAGACTCTTGCATGATTCCAGTTAGTGAAGGGGATAAGTGAGCTATACTTGCAAAATTTCTGTGAGTTTAACATTGTTGTTTTCTAAAAACATTAAAAATAAAATTTATTGACACGATGATATATATATGTATTTGTAAGTATTAGGTTAGTGTTATGCCATTATTCTTACCAGTATAAGATCAAGCAATTTACTTCAGATATGCTAAGTTGATACAGTGTTTCCTCAATGCATGCAGTGCTCACAGATCCACCATTTCAAGAGCTACAGGTCTCTATAATACCCGGAGACTAAATGGGCTGCACCTTATTCTTGTTTTGGGCTCCTCCATAGTCTACCCTCTTTTCTGCCATTGAGTATTATTTCTCAAAGTTCTCCTCCTTTAGTGAGGGTGGCCACTGCACGGGGGATGTCCCTGCCATGCACCATCAATGCCACTTTCCTCTTTTAGATTTTATCAGTGACTGGTGATATCATCCTGATGCAGACACAAGCCTCCCTGTTAACATCTTTAGGAAAGAGACACTCAATCTTGTATCAAGCAATTGCCTTTTGTACATGGAAAAATCAGCTGGATCCAGATGAAACCGTACACGGGTTTACACTCGTTATATCTCATCTCTCTAATGTACCCAAAAATGTCCCAGCCTGGCTCAATAGCAGGGGAAGTGGATCCAACTACATCAGCTTTAGTGGGCTGCGGCCTAGGGCTGTACAAAATTTTACTGATGCCTGAATAGGGAAGCCAAATCACAGTGCTGTAGCCTGTGCACAAACCTTTCTGCTGCATTGTAAGCTGCCTGAATTTTAAGGGAATTTGCTGATATTGGGAGAAAGGAAAAAAGTTCCATTTGTCCTCTAAATGTTTGCTGAAAATAAATTGACAAAATGAAGAATAATAAGAGAAAAGGCAAACAAAATTCATTTGAAGTGCAGCAGGATATCATAGCAGGGTGATTACCCAGATAATTCAGTGAGATCCAGTTGATTCTAGGGAAGAGGGAATTGGGAAGTGCAGGCAACCTAGAGAGAATAGATGAGAATAGAAGTGCATCTTCAAAAGAACAGGTAACAACCTGCCTGGATAAAGTATCAATTCCCAGTCTCTTCTATTTTTGATTCCTGTTTTGTGTTAATCTTCCCTGATATAAAAATTCTCAGGAAGAATTTTTCTTGACAATTGGTTTCCTTCTGGAGAATCTGCTTTTAGGCAGATAAGGGATATTTAGGAAACACCTTTTTGTGCATTTGCTGCTTTCTAAATACTGTGGGTTTTACATATCATCATACAAATGCAGCATAGTTTGAGATGTTATTTACTGGATTCATTTACTTACAACCCACCTGCCAAGATGCAGTTCCAGAGAGATGCAGCTACAGACTGAAAGAGCTGTTGACCCCTGAACACTGTGGAGGTTGGGGCACTGAGCACTGGTGCAGTTGAAAACCTGTGTAGAACTTTTGCATTTCTAACTTAAGTACTAATAGCTTACTTTTGACTGCTAGCCTTAGTGATAAAATAAATAGTTGATTAACACTGTGTTTAAGTTATTTATATGATATACTCTATTATTCCAATAAAGCATGCTAAAGAAAAAAATGTTACTAACAAAACTATAAAAATGAGAAAATATATTTGCAACTTATTAATTGCTTGCTCACAGGTGACACACACAGAAGAAAATATAAGTGGATCTGCAAATTTCAAACCCAATTTATTCAAGGGTTAACTGGGCCAGGATGAATGTAGCAGTCCCCATCTGTAGTCTAGGGCTTTCCACTTTGCTGTACCTCTGCTCACTTAGAATGGCAGTATACATGTCTTATGTTCTTTACGGTCTTGGGCAGAGAACTCTGCCTGCATGCATTGCTGGCCAAACGGCCTGGAATGTATATCACTTAGAAAGTGCTATGATTTGACACTGTCCTCCAGAATCCATCTGTTGTAAAGTTAATTCTCAGTATAATGGTATTGCCATGTGGGGCCTATTGGGATGTGTTTAGGTCGTCAGGGTGGAGCCCTCTAGTGGAATACATTAATATCACTATAAAAAGGGATTAAAAGGCTGGGATCTCTCTGTCTCTCTCTCTCTCTCTCTCTCTCTCTCTCTTCTGTTCCTCTGTCATGATAAACTATGGCCTTCCTTCCTTTGAAGGACCCAAAACTCCTGGACTCATCTTGAAAATGGAGAAAGCAGACCTTAACCTGCCCATGCCTTGATCTTAAATTTCTCATTCTCCAGAAATGTGAGAAAATAAATTTCTGTTCTTTATGAATTGTACAGTGACAAGGAATCTGTCATAGCAGCTTGAAATAGAACAAG